ATATATATTAAGGATGGACAATTCTTAGGAACAGTACCTGAGCAGGGTACTGTTCCTTGGGTTGGTTACTTCACCTGACTTTGGTTAGTCTATCCACCGTTGTTGTTGTTGTTATTATTATTATTATTATTATTATTATTATTATTATTATTATTATTACTTTCGAACATTAAGCCATCAAAAGGTAGAAACACCAATTTTTACGTAGTACTTGAAACACCGCTTGATAAACTAAATAATAATGTTAGAATGATATTGCTAATAATATATGATCTTCAAGGGTCACACCAATATTAACTTGATGCAAATAGATTATTCATAAAAATTTAATTCTTGACACTAGTAGAAAAAAAGCATTTTATGACACGCATTGTGTGTTATAAAAGGATACAGGGGATTTAATGACACACAATGTGTGTTGTGAACGCATGTCATAAATACATGGCGTAAGCTTATGACACGTAAATGTGTGTCCATTTCCTTTTTGACAGGGAGGATTTAATGACATGCATTTGCGTGTCATTAAATCCTCCCTGTCAAAATGGAAAATGACACATATTTGCGTGTCATAAGCTTACGACACACATTTATGAAATGTCTTCACAACACACATTGCGTGTCATTAAAGCCCCTGTCATAAATGAAGAGGACGCGCATTTGCGTGTCATAAACTTACAACATGCATTTACGACACACATTTGGCATGTCATAGTTTTTAGAGTTTTTAAAAAATATTTTTTTTATAGGTTCACAAATGTTTCTATTAAATGACAATTAATGTCTCATAATACAAAATAACATATTAATTAAAAGCTAAGACAACACATAATACTCTTTTTAGTTTATTTGCTAGGCTTATTTCTTTATATTTTCGTCCTTGATTTTCCTATTGTTGGAACATCTCACGGTCTATTACCGTGAGGGGCTTCTAAGACATTTTTTCGGGGGACTGTTGTCAACACGCAAAGGCCCGTAAGTATAGTTGGAAACTATGTCCCCAAACAGAGTATTTAAAAGGGAATAGGAAAAAAAGACTTTTTAGAGTGTTGGGAGACTCAGGTCACTGAAATTTTATATTCGTTTTATGATTTCTTGAATTTGGCATTTTGGGTCCAATTGAGCATTTACTATTCATAAGACCAGTCACGTATCACAAAGGTTGACTCATACTTGTCATTATGCTCCGATGTTGAAAACCTTTTCATTTTCTGTTTTGCACGAGTAGCTTCGGGAGTTGTGTTCTTGTGTGATTAGCTTGCTTTAAGATTTTCGATAAAAAGAGCAAGTCTAGTCTCAAGGCATACGACTCACTTACCAACTCAACTGTTTTAAGAAGATTTGGATGCTTTGGAATGGATCAGAACAAACATAGAATAAAATTTGTTTTGTTTTTTTTTGTGTTTTTTGTGTTTTTTTTTGAAAATTATGTAATGCAAAAATTGAGATGCAAGAATATTAAAAACAGAATAGAAAGATAATCTTTTTGGTTTTGAAAAAATTTTGATGCAGAAAACGAGAGAAAAATAAAATGAAAAAGTAAAAAATATTATGCAATATGTACAAAACTGCAACCTACATGCAACGTGATCTATTTGCATGGATGGATGTGTTGGATAAGGTGTCTAACTCCATCACTATATTTGATATGTATTTGACCCGAGAGTAGCATGGTCCATTTGGGTTGCACTTCACCGGGACAATTTGAAGGATGGACTTTTGAGAGAAGGATAATTATGATTTATTATTATATTATAAGTTCTAATATATTAATATGAAATCATATTATTTAATTAGTATGGATCAAGAATTAATTTGAAATTAATTTTGTGATAAAAAAGAGACTAGTTAAATATATAGGGATTGATTGTGTAAATCATTCATTCTTATAAAGTGGGCTAATGATCCATGATTCCTTATGTTGGGCTAAACCCATGTGGTGACCCATGGGTACTCCATGGAGGTTAAAACCCATGGAGCATGAGGAATGTGGAAAGCCATGCACATTAGGGTTTTCATGGTGTAACTGTCACACCCTCGAACCAGACGGCGGAAACGTCCGGGGGCTCGTGTGACTAACAATTGAATTATCATCACAATGAATATACATGAAACATAACACATTCATCACCAACATTACATATAACAACCAGCATTGTTTACATCAAGTAAATTGTTATAAATTACATAAGTTCAAAGTATTAAATGTATGATGAGTGATGTTACATAAAATGAAACCATACACACTTGAAAATCTTCCTGCTTAACGATTACCTGAGAATACAAGTTATTTTGAAAACGATCAACATATATAATGTTGGTGAGTTCATAAGTATGTTTGAGTAAAAGTCTTTGTATCTTTCGTAAAAACCCAGAAAATCCGATATTTTCTGTAAAATGTCCGAAAATGATGTGAAAATCAAGTATAGATGTATGTGTGAATTTCATAGTAGTAACATATATGAATGTAGTTTAGATTTCTTTGTATTGTAAGTAAGTAATAATTGAATATTAATATTTCCCCAGAAAATCCGATATTTTCTGATTTATAATAATGTCGAGGTTCTTGTATCGTTAAATAAGTTGTTTTGTATTGACACAATCGAAGGGTTAATCTCCCGAAGTGTTAAATTTGGTATTGGATCTCTATATGAGCCGTTATAACCATACATGATAATGACTAGGTTGCATGTCGTGGCATTTTTCCAAATGCCGGTATTTGCTCAAGGTTTTGTCGCCCTAGACCGGACTAGTCTAGTTGTAGCGAACATATAAGGCATGGGGGGTCACCCCGTATAGATCTATACACAAACTCCCGCTTTCCCTCCAGGAAACTCTGGTTATAACTACAGGCTACGATTGTACACTCAAAGGTGCCAACCGACACGTCTCACTAGATTCTCAACCTTTCGTACTATGTTTAATGTTTACGCGTATGTTGTATGTTATCAAATCCAAAGGTACATATATAAGTATACGAAGTTCAGTAATTATGTAGAAGTATAGTTACGATCTACTAAGCATGTGACTTTCAGTCCAAACCCAATTAGCATGTAAATGGACCACAAAGGCCCAATAACATGTAAAAGGGTAATTTGGGCCCAATAGGCATGTAATTGGACCACCAAGGCCCAACAAACATGTGACCCATAACTCAGGCCCAAATTAACATGTAAATGGGTCGCAAGGCCCAATAAACATGTCATGGAAAATGTTGGGCTCAATATACACTTGAATGGGCCCTTAAGGCCCATTGGCCAAGTAATGTAAATATTAGGCCCAATAAAACTGTTATCAACGTATTTCGTTCATTCGTTATTGTTTCGTTGTTTATTTTAGCTCGAGGTTTACTAAATTGATTATAAAAAGTCTTCCTTTTTGTAAAAACGACATTTTTGGCCAATAAACCTCAAATTTTCAATTAAAGCCCAAAGTTTTGTAAAAATAACACTTTAGTCCATAATTTATAAAAATTTGTAATTTCGTCCCAAATGTTTAGAAATTCACGGTTTTAGTCCAAAAATTTATATTTTTATATTTATGGCCCAGTTTTGTAGAAAAGTGCATTTTCAGCCCGTTGTTTGTAAAAATTTACACTTTCGGCCCAATTTTGATAAAAGTTACATTTTTGGTCCCATTTAGAAATAAATGTTATTTTCACCTCTAAATTTGGTATATTTACATTTATGACTCAAACTTTGGTCAAATAACATTTTTAATCCGAAAACTTTCATTTTTTCGCAAATTTGGGCCCAAAACCGTGACGCCCAAATGTTTGGCCCAGCAAGCTAAAATTTACATTTTTGCCCCTTTGGAAAGCATGTTTATCATAAAAATCCATTTTTATACAAGTAGGATCTGTTTGATCCTTATAAAAACATATATCTCACTTTTTGCCCTTATCTTTTGTTTTCTTGACAATTTTGACCCTTAACATGGTTTTTGCCTTAAATTTT